AGCCAGCCCCAGGCTGGGCAGGGATTTCCCCAAGCAGCTGGGGGCTGGCTGGGAGTTGCCCCAGAAATGGAACAGCTCCTGGCTAGCCCCCAGTTGTGCGGGGAAGAAGAGAGCTCCCCCGTCCCAGTGCTACTTGGCTCCTGGCTCCTGTGGAGAACTGGGAGTTGAGCAGTACCAGCACCAGGGAAGTTCTTCATCCCCTGTGGCCTGGCCCCCTGGTGTTGTGGCTGACCAGAAGCAAATTTGCTCCCAGTCAGTGTCTATACATAAACTACTGCACAGTATCTATTGCACAGTTAGCTCACTACCTGTATTTATAGGTAGTAGCTAACTGCACATTAGACTAATTTACTGCGTGGTAAATGGTGTGCACATCTAGATGGTGACACTTTGCTGCACAGTAGACTACTCTGCTGTCCATTAAAGTATCTTTTGTAGACACACCCACTTAAGTACAGATCTACTCTATTAGTAAATCTGAAGAGACTCACTATGAAAGAAGCAAAACTTAGGTTTACTCATATAAATCTTTGTAATCGCCTATGTTAGGACCAGAAACAGGATTTGTAGCACTGCAGTGCTATGTAAAATAGTGAAATAGTCCAAGTTTTTAAAGTTTCTAATGTTATACAAACACTATCGTATTCTATGGTAGTGATCTACTTCCCTACAATAATACTAGTGTGAGCTGCAGCATATTAGGCTACTACCACAGGATTCTGTAATAGTTATAAGATTTGTCAGAAATCCCAGTATAAGTCCTAGATGAAAGGAATGACACATGATATGTTTGCAGAAACTGCCTATTAGTTAGTATGGATATTAGTGCCACTTGGCTAGCCAAACACGTCTGCATCCTAGATACCACTGAGGTAACCTTCAATTGCCAGATGTTTAGGCTTCCTACAATTATAGATATACAGGAACATGGCTTCAGATTTTCTGCTGAAATGGCAAGGTTTCAAAAATACTTTTTGTTTCTGCTTTAGATGATGAGACACGAGTACCTCTGGGAGAAAACAAGGCTTATATTAATGCAAGTTACATCAGAATTCCTGTTGGACAAGAGGAGCATTTCTATATTATAACCCAAGGTCCTCTGCCTTCCACCACAGCTGATTTCTGGCAGATGGTTTGGGAGAACCAATCAGATGTGATTGCCATGATGACAAAAGAAGTGGAACTTGGAAAAATCAAATGTCATCAATACTGGCCTGAACCTCCATGTGTTTCTGTGGACCTGGCTCAATTCCACCTGAGGCTGGACAATTACCAGATCCTAGATTATTTTATAATTAGAATAATAGAACTGATTAATAAACAGGTAAGTTAAATATATTTAATTATCTGCTGTCGCAAAGGTGACTTGATATTGTAAGTATTTGGACTATTTTCATTTTTGTAGTATTTTGATTATCTTTTAAAGTATATGAAAATCTGAATTACTCTGGTAAACTCATGACTTAGTGACAATAGATGGTTCACTGCTCATTTCAAGCCCAATTATCCTTGAAACTGCTTCTTTCCAAGTCACCTTTCCAAGACCACAGTGAGTTACTACAGTTCAGCTTGATTTAGTCTGATCATGCCTATCTAGCACCACAAAGAGCCATCACACGGCTTGCTCCAAGCCCCTCTCCATGGAAACACTACAGCTCAGCCATTGAGCAATAAAGAGAGGGGGATGGGAGGTTCTTACCTGATTTGTGGTCTTCTAAATTTCCCTGGCTGCTCTGGTGTGGTCTGTCTGCCTCGGTCGGGGGGGGGGAACCTGGGAGCAGGGGTGCAGCCTGCTGCGTTGATCGCTGCTCCTTCACCCTCCCCCATCCCACTTTACAAAATACTGGCTCTACTCATAAGAACCAGTATGCACTCCCCCTTCTTAATGAATTGTTTGAAAGACTGGGGCAAGTGTGTGTCTTCACGAAGTTGGATCTAAGGGGGCCCTACTAGGCTTCTCCAAGAGATGTATGGGGAGCCCATGATTATTGGGCTTTGTTAACTTCTACCAAGGTTTCTTCTGGAATTTCTCCAAAGTGGCAGCCCTCAGAACATACTCCTCAAAAAGGGGGTCTGGTTCCAATGGTCCTAGAAAGCTCAATTCACACTTGACTCCCTGAAGTGGGCCTTTACCTCTGCATCTGTCTTGGCACACCCAGATCTGGTTGTTCCTTTCATAATGGAGGCAGATGCTTCTGCTTCATGGTTGGAACAGAACATGTCCTGGTGTCAGGGGGCTATGAGGCCATCCACCTTCTATTTCTAGAAGATGACCTCTGCCAAGGTTAACTATGAAACTGGGAACGAGGAACTGCTGGCCATCAAGAAGGCCTTTGTAAAATGATGCCATCATTTGGAGGTATCCTGACACCCAGTACAGGTTGTGACTGACCACAAGAACCTACAGTATCTCTGCTCAGCAAGGAATCCCAACCAGTAACAAGCCCATGGGTCTTTTTTGGGTTTTTTTTCCAGATATAATTTTGCTAATTATTTATAGATCCAGAATTCACAATGGCAAGACTGATGTTCTATCCAGAAAGGATGAATACATAGATGCCAGCCCACATAATCTGCTCACGATCTTGGATCATACAAACTTTGTATGTGGTTTGAGGGA